GAGAGAGAGAGAGAGAGAGAGAGAGAGAGAGAGAGAGAGAGAGAGAGCTATCCTTGTGGTACTTTAATAAATGCTGTGGCAGAAAAGACACTTAGAAATGGAGCCCATCTCTGATCTTTAATCCACTTGAGGGCTGTGGTTGGGTTGACCCTCCTTTAAACAAGAGGCCTTATAGAGTTAAACGCAGGAAGGTAAAACTGAATTTGTAATGCTTACATGTAATGCTTACCCTCTTCAAATGTGGTCCTGAACCTTCATAAAACTTCTGACTTGAATCATTTTGCATAACCTATCCAGTTTAGTATAGTCAGAAGTAAGCATGTGACCATATAATCCCACATGGCTGAAACTGAATGCATGCTGTTTGTGCCCTTTGTAAAAGGAATGATGTGTAGGGCTTTTTTTGGAGTGGAGATGTGGTATGTTTTATTTTTTTTTAACCTGCATGTGTCTGTGTATGGGTACCACTAATGGAGGTTGGAAAGAATGCTGAATGCCCTAAAGCTGAAGCTACAAATGGTCATGAACCAGCCATTGTGGTGCTGGGAAGTGAGCTCAGGTCTTCTAGATTAGCAATTAGTAAGTGCCCTGAACTGTTAAGCCATCTCTCTAGCTCAAAAACAGAGTAACTTTAAATAAAAAAGAAAGAACAATGTGATAACATCCCTCGCAGTCCTGATTTTCTTTTTCATGTTCTTCCTCCTTCTGCTCCTCATTTGGACCTTGGGGGGCTCAGTCCGGTGCTCCAATGTGGGTCTCCGTCTGTATCGCCGTCCTTCGCCAGATGAAGGATCTATGGTGATAAGCAAAATATACATCAGTATGGTTATGGGCCACGGTCGGTTCAGGCACCCTCTCCTCTGTCCAGAGAACAATCTGGGGGATCTCTCCTTGGACCTGGAATCCCATATATAATCAAGTCTCCTGTAAACCCTAAAATAACTCCCTTAGTTGAAATATATTCTTCCCTAATCCCATATTCATCCTTCCTCCCCCCCCCCATCCCAACCGAGCTCAGGACTGCGAGGGATGCTATCACCCACTGATACAACGGAACGGATCTAATGAGAGTTTACCAAGGCCAGTTGGACTGGGACTGAATGAGCACGTGATCTAACCAGATTCTCGGAATTTGGCCGGATTCTCTGAATGTGGCTGGCCCGAAGTCTTTCTGAAAAGCCATTGACTATGATACTGGGACTTGTTTCCTCTGCATATACTGGATTTTGGGGATCCAGTCTGTTTGGATACTCACCTTCCTGGACCTGGAAGGAGGGGGGAGGAACTTGAACTTCCCACAGGGCAGGAAACCCTGACTGCCCTAAGGGACGAAGAGGGAGGAGGAGAGGGAGTGGGGGGAGTGGGAGGGTGTTGGGAAGAGGGGCGGAAATGGAAACTTTTATAATTTAATAAAATTTACTTTCAAAAAAGAGAACAATGTGTAAAATTCTATTATTTATAAAAATGTAATATTTAGTATTTATAAAGATATCAGTGTGGTGAATTGATACCTTTAATCATGTTGAGATGTAATTTCTTGAACTAGCATGTAACATTGAGTTAGTAATACTTTTCTCTTTTGCAGACACACATTTCTTTCTCATATTCACTTTTCTTTGAGCCCTGAACTTCTAGAATAGAGATAGCTCTTTTGAAGCATGCTGAGAGCAGAAGCAAGATTTATTCTCTGCAGGTTAGAGGCAACCAGGACAGATCCCCTCACTGTATGGCTGAGGCCCTACAAGTTAAGTGAGTTAGTGCTTTAAAGAGAAGACATTTTTCTGCTCATTACTTCTCTCAGAACAGATGTTGTGTGCCCTTGTTGACATCCAATTTTAACTCTCTTCCTTCATTGATATTCTGAGGAGCATTTAAGAAATTCTCTCGAGAAAACAAAGAGGATCTGCAGGTGTTCCAGCATCTCCTCCTGGAAACTTCCTGTCTTCCAAGGATTGACATTAAGGCCTTGACTCAGCCTTGTAATCAGGAGCAGAGAATTTCAGAGCTGTAAAAAAATTCATTAATAAAAAGAAAAGGAAGCATTGTTCAACATGGGCACTAGGTGTTTGTGCCCTGCTTCTTCCCTACAATTCCTTACATGTACCCCCAACTCTATTCCTCTCAAATGCAGGGCTCCTTTTGATTTAATATATATTTTAAATTAAATATTATTTGATATTAAATATATATACAAACATAGTAAGCTTAATTTGTTTAGTGTTATTTGCAGGCATATGATTTCAGGTCTGACGACTTGGTGTAGGTGACCAATCAGGGATCCTAACCCAGGAAGACTTATCCTGTTTTTAGTATTCCTTTATTGCCTATAGCTCTTTGTCTAGAGTTAGGACCCTATGAGATCTCCCACATCCATGCTAGCATTTCTATTGATGTTGCTTTTGACCCGAAGCCATATTGTTAAGGTATCATGAGTGAAGCTTCCAAATCGTTTCTAGGAGACATATTCTCACACATATTTCTAGGTCCTTTGACTATACGATCTTTTTGCCTTTGTTCTGAAGTGTTCCCTGAGTTTTGGGCATAGGTGTTGTGTATGTTTGTGTATATATATTTGGGAAGCTGTTCTCTGCATTTGGACCAGTTGTAGTTTTCTGTAATGGTCTTCATCTGTTGCAAAGAGAAGTTTCTTTGGTGAGAAATAAGCTTCTCAGTGAGCATAAGGATGTTTTGAATGCAGTTAGAAATTATGGTGGTTTATTAAGTGGCAGTAGTAAGTCCTCTTTTTAAGAGTCATGACCTCATTAGTTGCTTAGGTTTCCAGTACTCCTGTCTGGTGTAGGATGTGTTGCTTTCATTGGTTGAATAAAGAGACTGCCTTGGCCTTTTGATATGGCAGCCCTTAAGTGGGCGGAGTAGACAGAACAGAATGCTGGGAAGAAGGGAAGTGTGGCAGATTCCATGATTCTCCTGCCCGAGATGGACACTGGTTAGATTCATGCCGGTAAGCCACAGTCAAGTGGCGATACACATTAATGGAGATGGGTTAACCAAGATGTGAGAGTTAGCCAATAACAGGCTAGAGATAATGGGCCAGGCAGTAATCTAATTAATACAATTTCCATGTGGTAATTTCGGGGGCATAAGTGGCCCGGTCCTCCTCATACTACACCTGTCTAGTGGTCTTAAGTCCAGTTAGACAGTTGTTGATTATGCCAAGATATGAGTGCTAATCTTGAACTCTTAAGGCTTTTATACTATGCTGATAATTGTTGTGATTCATGGTGGTCACTTCTGAGTAGGAAGTGTTGGTTGTTCCCTCCCTTGGCAGCTTCTGTAACAGATTCATGTACTATGAAAGTTAGTCTTCAGGGAAGGGTCTTTCAATTCAGATTTAGCTTGAATTGTCTGAGTCCTGTGTCCTAAGTGTATGGTGTCATTAGCCATGGGGACTTACTTTCAACTTCTAAGAGGTAACCAAAAATAAAAACAATAATCTATATTGTTTGAGAGATATCTTGGATTCCTCTCATCAACAAATTGAAAGGGAGTTTTTTGTTCCTGATATTTGGGATTTTGTTAGATAACCTATGACTCTTGGGGGCATTTTTGTCTAGCCAAGTGAGGTGACAGCATTGAAACTAAATATGTGTATATATGCACATAACCTTCCATGGTTATATACAAATTTAGATGAATAAATAATAACAGGATTCCTATGACTTGTCCAAATATATTGTTATTTTATTCTCTCCCTCCTTCTTCTGTACTGACCTGACATCTCTTAACCTTAACTGTTAAAAAATTAAAATTTTGACTAATTACAAAAAAGATAATAATGGTACAATAAAGAATTTTTCTCTACAATCTGTTCCTCTGAAGCCAGAAGTTTATTTAAAGTACTGTTAACAATAATTTCACCAAATATTTGGCAAAATATAATCTGAATCTTTTTTCTACCCTCCAATGAGAGTTACTCTCTTTCTGTCATTTTAATGTAAGACTAATACAATACTTATGTATTATTATATACTTTAGCAATAATTTCAGTGTGGCCAGTTTTGCTGAGGCAGAATTTCTAAAGCACAGGTGATTTCAACATCCAAATGATTATTTATCATTTATGTGACTATGAGTGGTCTACTAATCATTTGTTCCTGTCTATCATTCTGGGACCTAGGTAAAAGGACCACTCTTGAAGACATGTCATGAGAAAGCTGGAGAAGATGGATTGTTGGGAAAAATCTGAGATACCTCACATGCATCTCTCTACATCACAACTGCTCTTCTTCTTCAAGCAAACCTACTATCAGTGGAGCTGACAATATACAATGCCTGTAAGGGAAAGATGACAAAAAAAAAAAAAAACACTTGAGGACAATAAGTAAGTTATGTTGTCGCTTCCTGTGCAACGGTAGATGCTAACCTTGTGATTGTATTCTCTCCATACTCTTTTGTTATGGGAAGTGCTCTGTCCACAGCAGCTTCACTGACGTTCACTTAAGTAGCCTACCTTGTCATCTGAACTCTTGTGCACTCCATTCTGCTCTTGTCTTGCCAGCAACTCTATTTTCCTTCTTCTACCTTCTCTGCCCATTCTTTATTATTACTTGTGTGTTCATGGCTTGTTTAAGCACAGTTCCCTAGGGGAGTATTACATAAAAACATTCAGGATACTGAGAAGTAACGACAAATGTGTTTTCCTCTGTGCTTAATGAGAAATGGTGAAACGAGAGGAACAATACTACA